ACCCGACCCCCGGGCCCACATCTCGGAATTTGACAAAATTCACAAAATTAGAATCCTTATACCCTCACGAGTCTAACCATACAAAAATTATCCAATTCTAGTACCATTATGTCCTTCAAATCAACATTTTACATTTTTGGAAGATTCCACAATTTTTCTTCCCAAATTCCATCCCAAATCACGAAATAAAATGATGGATTTAATGATAGATTCATGTACTCTAGACAAATCTGAGTTAGAATCACTTACCCCAATGAATTTCTTGAAAAACCTTCGAAAGATCGCCAAAATCCGAGCTCTCTTGGTCAAAATATCAAATAAAACCCAAAATCTCGTATTTATAGAGTACCCCACAGATTTCCACCTCCGCGGACAGCACAAAATCGACCGCGGGCCGCACAAAAATGACCGCGGCCACACAGGCTTTCCTCTACAGTGACAGGCTTTAGTATTTTGGCCATAACTTTCGCTAAAGATGTCCAAATTGCGATATCTTTAGCTTTGGGGAAACTAGACACAAAGGGCTACAATTTTCGTTTTTGAATCATCTAAAAATTCCTTGTAGATCAAACAATATGAGCTTCTGAAGTAGGACCGGTGAAATGTTCCCCACCGCGACCTCACTGCATTTTGTGCGGTTCGCACAGCACCTACCACGGCCGCACTTCATTTTGTGCGGACCGCGCGGGTGGCTTCCGAGGCCTGCAACCCTTTTGGACCTGCTACAGTTATGATTTTCGGCCTAAAATATCCCGGAACCTACCCAGAACTTCAAACCAATTGTACCAACACATCCCATGACATCGTTCAAACTTGTTCCAAACTTTGGAACGCTCACAACAACATCAATCACCAATTTAAAATAGGATTCAATCCTAAGAACTCCAAGAACTCTTAAATTATGCTTTAGATCAAAAAGTCTATCAAATCTCGTCCGAATGACCTAAAATTTTGCACACACATCCCAAATAAGACAACGAAGCTACTGCCACTCTCGGAACTCCATTCTGACCCCTATATCAAAATCTCGCCTATCAAATGGAACCGCCAAAATATCAACTTCGCCAATTTAAGCCTAAATCTTCTCTACAACTCCAATACCCATTCTGATCGCGCTTCTAAGTCACAAATCACCTTCTGAAGCTAACTGAACCATCGGAACTCACTTCCGAGCATTCTAACACATAAGTCAACATCCGATTGACTTTTCCAACTTAAGCCTTCTTAAAAGATACTAAGTGTCTTAAACTTCACCAAACTCATTTCGGACTCAATCCGACCAACTCGATACCACAAAAACATGGATAACGAAGCATAAAGAAGCTGAAATGGGGGAAATGGGGCGGTAACTCATGAGACGGCTGGCTGGATCATCACATTTTGCCACATTTTTGATGGGTATATTATATAAATTTTTATCCACTTATTAGTTAACTGGGTAATATCCTGTTACTTGGTAATTAATTAATTACCTGCATAATTTATAATTTTCCCCAAATTACTTAAAATTCTATTTATTTTTGATATATTTTATACATCGTACTACTGTGGTCATATGGTACCTTGCATGGTACTAATTCATAATTATCGTATATTATCGCTCGACCCGTATTTTACTCCAAATGCCAAACTTGGACGAAAATTCATTTGCTTTGACTTGCATCCCCTCTCACCTTCACGAATTTACTTTTTACTTGTTTGAAATAGCATAATGCTTATAATCTCAAAATAATCACATTCCTGAACTTACGTCGATTAACTTACGATGAAACTTTAACGTACAGAAAATGCGGAATGTAATATCTCATTTTTTGAGCTTCCGTCAAATTACTGATGGCGTACCTTCATGTACGAAAATATAGGGTATAACATTATTCCCCTCTTTGGAACATTCATCATCGAATATTGACTGATGCACTTATCATTTTCATAACTTATGGCTCTTGCAAATACTTTAGTACTCGCCTTACCATCTAGGCAACTGTTCTATGTATACTCATACCACAACTTGTTGTCGAATCTTTCCATTCTCGTAACTATTGCTACCTTCTGTCATGCAACATTTATGACTCTAACTTTGGAAGTGCGCCTATGGGACTCTTCTCTCCTTTTCCCTCCATCTTTTAGCCAATCTCTAGGTCTTACTTTGTAAACATATACAAAGTTTGACAAGATGTTTCTCTGGGAATATATGAGTATACTGAAGTTCTTCACTTGGTACTTTGTTGAATTCACGAATATTGCTATATTTTATCGCATAGGTCCATTTAGCCATCCGTATGAATTTACTGCCATAACTCTTACTTTAATTTATCGTTGCTGAGGTCTGCTACCAAATCCCAGCTTACTCTCGTTGCTTATTTCATATGTATAAATTTAAGTCCTTTAATGCTTCCTCATTACTGCTCATCTTTAGAATGACGGCCTAATCTCATCTCATACTTTGTGACTTTTGTCCATCCATTGTTGATTCACCTCAATATTGATCTACAATATACAACTGATAACTTGAAACTTCTTACGTAATACTTTTCCCCTAGGGCTTACGTTACCTCAAGGAATATTCGAAGTGGTTCCCATAATCGTATTTCATAGAGTCTCAATGTGATTCACCTTATGGGGGTATCCTAATTTCGTGCCAGCAGCGAAATCTTTTCTCCTTCTCTTTTTTTTCTTTTTCAAATAATTATTCAAACGAAGGCTCAAACGTCATCCTTTATCTGTCACAATTATATCCTCATTTTATTGCCAGGTTAGCATTTCATTCCTTCTAAATGCTATTAATCTTAAACTCCTTTGAGTTCATTAAGACTATAGTGAGCTTTGTATAACATAGAGAATCCATTAGCTCCCTTGTTTCATGGACCTAATCCTAAAACTAATCCATTCTCGTTACCTTCTCACTCGCCTTTTCTCGTTCTTACATCTTGTCATAAAACTTTGTCGCTTTACTATACTTTAGCTTGCGACCTATACATATCTATTTATATTACTCGTAACCTTCCTTCAACTTGCTTGAATTTCCTTGTGTTATTTTAGAACATCTAGCAAGACATCACATCATCTCTAACTCTTCTTTACTTTCTTAACTAGACCTCTCAATACCCAAAAATCACTGACTAGAAGATATGCCACTGACGATGCCACTATATTTCCTGGATATTAAATCCTCGCGCTTCTAGCCTTCTATCCCAAGTGTGGAATATCCACAACCTTCTTCTTTTGAGTATCTCGTACATTGTTTACCTTTATCTTACTTTCCTTAAAGCCTCACATCACATCTTCTATCTCTTTCGTACCTCTGATTTTAAGGGAGATCCTGCAATGTTCTCGATCACGATATTTTTATTTTTCTGGGTCCAATAATCAAGCTCCTGATTTACTTGGGTGATGTAACTCTTTAGTTTCCTCCTTCTTCTGATCAACCTTTACGTCGGCTTAAGCTATCTTCCGATCTGTGGCTCATGTTATTATTTATTCTGTATAGCCTTTCATGGGCACTGAGGAATATGCATGATACAATCCTTTAACAATTTCATCCTTCGTTTATGATCTGGGCTCAATTCTTTTTTAACGTATACCAGAACCTTCTACGGCTATATATGCTGCATATATAAAACTCCAAACCCTTAAGTGAGTTCTTAACGCAACCAACTCTGGATCATTGATCAAATAATTTCTTTTTTCTATCTTAGCTTTCTTTAAACGTAAGCTATTACTTTTCCTGATCTTTCTACCCCCTTGTTGCATCCATACTTAGCTTATCTTAGTGCCCATATATATTAAAATTCCATACAACTCATATGATCCGGAATATCACTTCTGATTTTACTCCCTGTTCATTAGCCATTGTAGGTTCCACTTTCTTAGGGAGTGCATACAATGTTGTTTTGAGACTGTTGTCATATGACCATTTTCTCTTTAGGTCATTGTACTGAGGTTGAAGCTTTCCTCCTTATTTTCTCAGCTAGTCTTTCGTCGTAGTACTTAGGGAAGACCCTCTGACTCGTGTAAAGATGCGAGCTTATTATACCGTATTCTCGATAGAATTTTTGATGTTCGTGCTCACTTGTAATTATCCTTAGTTACTTACCTCCATACTCATCTGCTCATACGGCTACGTCTGAACTGAATTGACTGTCTTCCCAGTGGAACTTACTTTTATTTTCGTAACACTCATACGGTACCTTTAATTACCCCAACTACTATTTGAATATTTCTCAAGTATTACAATGCCATAACTATGGGGCTAAATTCACTATATTGGGTTTTACTATCTTTATCTTGCACGACCTGCTGTCTTGTTCTGTATCCTCTTGACTAGCCATAGCTAGACTCGTTCGGAATCAACTACTAACTACTCGTTAGCCCATCCTCATGTCAATATTCCACAAAATCTTTCTTGGGTTATTTCCTTGGTCTTAACTTACGTCTCGCACTGGCTCCTTAATTATCAATAACATCTTGGGCAGGAACCCTTACTTCTTCTCCTTGACGTCGCGTTTGCATAATGTTCTGGAATCGTAGCGTATCTGTAGCATTTGGATAAGTGCAATCTCATCCCTTTCTCATTTTTATCACATTCTTCCTTTTATTAATCCATATTCCCCCCTTTAGGGGAGTACTAAGAGTTGGAGCTATGGCGACCTGCCTATATATGTTTCACTTTTTCATCTTTGTCATCATTTCACATCATCGATGACTCTTACTTGCCTTGTGGTAATCCTTCCGTACCAAGGATAGAAAAATCCCTTACTCACGAGGGTGAAATTTAATATAACTGACACTATAGGAAAAGAGGTCTTTAACGACCACTTTTTTACGAAAGGAAATTAATACAGTCGTTATATGTATGCTTATAGCGGCCAATATTTATTCCGATCATTAAAGTCATTTTTACTATATTTTTTACGAGGGAATAATTTCCGGTCTTTCAAATTATGTCAATCCCCTCGTTATAAATCTGAATAAAATGAAAATTTATGCGGTAATTATTCCCTCCTTTTTTTCCTCAACAACTCCACCCATATCCCCCAAATTAATAAAAAAACCCTAAAATCTCTCAATCCAATGTTATCCCAAAACGCGTACACCAGATTCAGCAAAGAGGATGCATAGAATCACGAACAAATAGGCCCTCACTGCAACTGCCTGCTACTTCATCGGCAAGTTCTAGCGATCGATTTAACACTATATATATACAGAGCAAAACTTAACGAAAAATCACAAAATGATTTTGTCCTTTTGCTGTACGCAACTTATAATTTGTGTGCTTTGTGGTGAATCTGTGTCAACGCTAATATCTGGGTGTCAACGCTTATAGCTGGGTGTCAATGCTAAGAGCTGGGTTCTGTTATTTGTTGTGCGTATACTTGATTTGTGGGTTCTGTCAACGCAGCTTATACGATTTGGTCTTCTTGTTGTGCTTTCTCGTCAAGGTAAACTCAAGTCACTAAATCTATAGTCGTAATTATTGTGAAATTGGGCTTTTTGTTATCTCTCTACTTTTCAAGTCGACGCCTTCCAGATTTATATGATAATTGTTCTGTTTCCAGTATATTTCATGCAATATTTCAATGCACAGAACCAACTGCTTTCCATAAAAGTTGTTGTTTTCCTCATCTTCTGCTTTCTCTGCCATTTTATGCTTCTTATTATAATGGACGATAGGTAAACTTTTTGGATTCTTAATCTGTTATAGTTTGTGAGAGAGGTCCTATACGAGTTGCAGCTAGTAATTCTTATAAGGGGATTCATAATTTACACATAATTCAAACTTTTATATATGTACAAAAAATTTGTCTCCTATTTGCACATTATAATTTTTCGGCGTAGCAAATTCAATTAAATTATTTGATTACATGTGGCTCTGCATTGCCTGCATGAAAAAAAAAGAGTAAAATCATATTTGTTTCAAAAGGTGTTCTTTTCCCACTGTTGGAATCGAATATTTTTTCATTCTTCTTCAGTTTGCCTATATAGCGTACACCAACCTATTCAGTGGCAGAAAATCATTATTAATAATAAGTGTGCTCCGTACATGTTCATCAAAGAGAACTCAAAGATTGAAAAACTTAAATCCTGGTTGACTTAATTGTGACTACCAAGATTTTATTACTTTTCATGGTAGAGTGAGAGAACAATTTATCACATGGAGTCAAAAAAAGAAAACTATACCTTACTTCCTAGGAAAGATCTTTTTCCTTCCGGCTTGCCCATTGCCAACTCCTTTATGACCAATCCATTTCCATAGGTCCTCAATTGAGAAGACTTAGTTACTTCATTTTCCTCCACCTCGTGTAATTCATTCTTTTTATTTTGTTCAACCTCTGTAACTGCTTTTCCATTATGTTGATTTTTCTTGTTCTTTTTCTTTTTCTTCTTTTTATCAGTATCCCTGGAAGTTTTAGTGGAAAAATAAGTCTTCTTACTAGTAAAAGCAATAGAGTTTGATAAAAGATAACAAACATAGCACATGGAAGCTGGCCAGAATCTAGAAGAACATGTAATTGGATAAAACTTAAAGCTAGATGGCTCCTTTAGTTATGCAAATAACAATCCAGATTCCTCACGAAGCATATCAGCCATTAACTTTATTCTTTTCTATTCTAAATTTCACTAGATCAGAACTTACTTTTCATCAGTTGACCTCTAAACATCATTAGTTTTACCTACTGAAAGTGGCTCATCATTAGTCTCAGCATGCTCTGAATTGTTGTTTGATCCATTTTCATGAGCCATGAATCAACGCCAAAATCATAGCGCATATTGCTCCCAAGTAGTGTCTCTTTCACTAATTACTAGCTTTTCTTCACTCCATATAGACCAATCCAATATTCAGATAACTTGTAAAATGAGATTGTCGTCATTGAACGTAGTAATTCTAAGAATGGAGGAGGAGAAGAGACTCTGAGCCCGTCAATATATTTTATTTCCTTATTATATAGAGTTTAAAATTACTTTTTATATGACTTACCATCACTAATCACAATAAATAAATAGTAACTATATATCCTTCAAGATTGCTTGAATCAATGTTACCCACGCAGTTCTGTTACTATTTTCATTTTCAATACTCATATACGTTACACATGAAAAGAAGTTTAGTAGCTTATAAATTTATTATGGTAGCATTTCGTTATAAAATATATAATGTTTTTGATTGAGGATAAAATGGGTATTCAATTTTTTATGGGCATTTTGGTAAATCAAGTTTGACGTTAGGAGCTTCGTACTTTTAGTATAACTAGTTTTAGGATACGTGCGTTGCGCGTGAATCCTATCTAAAAGAAAACAAATTATTTGAAAAAGTACACAAATATTATATGAAAAATTGTGTTTGACTAAGAAATAAAAGTTAAGGAGAAAATGTAAACTCCTGAAAATTACAAATGTCGATCCTATTTAACTAACTCAATAAAGAAAGAAACTTTACCTCACAAAAGGTAATAAGTTATCTCAGTTAATATATTCAACTTGAAATTTATCTCAGTTTAATCATTTATTGCTTAGACATTACAAATTATCATGCTTCCTTTTTAGTTTTAGTTAGAACACGCAGCCTTTGAAGATTTAAGAGCTTTTTCGAAAAACATTCTTGAAGAGTTATATGTTCAAATGTATTCATAAGTTCATTCTAGAAGACACAACATGTCAGCTAACTCACGAGATTCTTTTTTTTTTTTCATTCTGGCGAGCAAATGCAACTTGTTCTTGTTCTTTAACTAATACAAAATACTATATAAATTTTTATAATATTTTAAAATATTGTGTTTGTGGGTTGTCTCAATACTAAAAAATTAAATATATTATAATCATGTCTAGTGTAAAATAAATTTGTAAAGGGTAAAAAAATAAAAAATGTTTTACTAAGAGGTTTTTTGTTTTAAATATAATATAATTATTTGATAAATTTTCCCGTAATATAGGAGTTATTGATGATCCATAAGTTCTTTTAACATATATACATATATATTACACATGCACCAGATTATGGCATCTGATAAGAAAATGGATGGAACTTGTCCATGACCAACTTGGTAATTTTTACAAGCTTGGGGTGGAGAGCTTTTTGGATTTTGCTTTTACAAGATTAAGTGAAGCGCGTGTAATATGATGTCCATGTATCAAATGTTGTAACACATCTTTGGGAACACGTGAGATTGTTAAGTCACATTTAATAGAACATGGAATAATTCAAAATTATACTTTTTGGTATCACCACGGGGAAAAGTTAGGTGAGCCACAATCAACTCCAGAAGATGATGACATTGAAGAAGCTGACAGTAAGGATGAAATACATGGGATCCTAAGAGATTTATACCCTGATTTTGATGCAGACAATACGAATACTGATGGTGATGATTTTCTTGAGGTGGAACCAAATCTTGAAGTAAAACAATTCTATAGGCTTTTAAAGGATTTTGAGCAACTATTGTACGAAAATTCAAAAGTTTCTAAACTTTCTACTATGGTTAAATTACTTCATATCAAAAGTATTGGGCGTTGGAGTCATGAGTCATTTACAATGTTATTGAAGATGTTGAAGGAAGATCTATTACCCGACGAACCAAACTTGTCAGATTCATATTACGAGGCAAAGAAGATAATTCGGGATCTTGGACTTTCTTATAGGAAGATTGATGCTTGTAAGAATAATTGTATGTTATATTAGAAAGATGACAAGTTTCTTGAATCTTGCAAAGTTTGTGGAGCGTCTAGATGGAAAGAGGATAAACATAGTGGAGAAACTAAATTTAAGAGTGGGAAAAAGATAGCGCACAAGATTTTACATTATATTCCCTTAAAGCCAAGACTCCAAAGGTTGTTTATGTCCTCAAAGATACCATCTTTAATGACATGGAATCATGACAAAAGAGTTGATGATAGAATAATGAGGCACTCAACTGACTCAATGGCATGGAAAAAGTTTGATGAACTTCACCAATCTTTCGCCGATGAACCTCGTAATGTTCGACTTGGATTTTTAGTGATGGTTTTTAACCATTTGGAAGTTCTAGAACTCCGTATAGCATTTGGCATGTTGTACTTATTCCTTATAATTTACCACCTTGGCTATGTATGAAGCAAGAGAATTTTATTTTGTCAATGCTTATTCCTAGTCCTAAAAGTCCAGGAGACGCAATTGATGTTTTTCTTCAGCCTTTGATGGATGAATTAAAGGAATTATAGGAAACTGGAGTGGAGACCTTTGATGCGTCAACTAAACAGAACTTTATGTTGCATGCATCTTTATTATGGGCCAATTAATGACTTTCCGACTTATGCAAACTTATCTGGATGGAGTACAAAAGGAAAATTGGCTTGCCCATGTTGCAATAAAGAAACATTCTCAATTAGGTTAGAAAATGGTAAAAAGTAGTGTTATATGGGTGATAGGCGCTTTCTTCCTCTTAATCACAAATGGAGGAATGATAAAGAGTTATTTGCTACACTAAGAAGCGAAGACTACCACCCGAAATTTTATTTGGTGAAGATATACTTGATCAAGTGGCTGATTTAGATGATTTACCACTAACAAAGGATCCAAAGAAAAAGATTAAAATATCACATGAGAGTAGGGGGGATAATTCGAATAAGAAGAGTATTTTCTTTAATCTTCCCTATTGGAAAACTCTATTGTTGCAGCATAATTTAGATGTGATGCATATTGAGAAAAATGTATGTGACAATATTTTGGGGACAATCTTAAATGTCAAAGGAAAAACCAAAGATACCACAAAAGCTCGATTGGATTTGCAAGCAATGAACATAAGGAAAGAATTGCATCCAATTAAAAATGGGGATAAATATGAGCTACCAACAACATGTTACACATTATCTCCGTGAAGAGAAAAATAAATTTCTCAGATTCCTAAAGAACTTAAAGGTCCCAGATGGATATTCATCAAATACATCTCAGGGCGTCAACACTAAAGATCGCAAAATTTCAGGCCTAAAAAGTCATGATTGCCATGTTTTTCTACAATATTTACTTCCATTTGCTATACGTGGTATGCTTTGCAAATCTGTATGTGAACCTCTTATTGAGTTGTCTTTATATTTCAACTTGCTTGGAGCAAAATGTTTAAGAATGGATGAGTTAGAACATATAGTAACTCAAATTCCTATAACTCTGTGCAAATTAGAAAAGGCATTCCCTCCTTCATTTTTTGATGTAATGGTTCACTTACCGATTCATTTAGCCAATGATGCTATGATTGTTGGATCTATTCAATATTGATGGATGTATCCAGTGGAGCGATGACTATACTTTTTGAAATCTTTAGTTGGCAATAGGGCTTTCCCAGAAGGTTCTATCGCGGAGGGATATTTGGCAACTGAATGTTTGACTCTATGCTCAAGGTACTTGCATACAATGGAAACAAAGTTTAATCGCCTTGAGTGGAATTATGATAGTGGTGTTATTGAATCTGATGGAGGTATAACAATTTTTTCACAACCTGGAAAAGAATTATGAGATGGAAAATTGGACAAACTTAATCCAGATGAATTAGAGCAAGTACATATTTATATTTTGAAGAACTTTGATGAAATTCAATAATTTCTCGAGTAAGTATTGATTCGACATAATAATTCACATATACTTTATCCATGATTTCAATTAAAATGACATTTTATTCTTTAATTTTTGTAGAGAGTTTTCGGAAATTCCAGGTGATACCTCTCAAAAACATTCAGATAGGGAGTTCATTAGTTGGTTAAAAAAAAGGTTAGTACTAGTTATATACTATTGCTATTTTTTAAAACATAATTTTTTATATAGTATTTGCTAATTAAATTATATAATTGATTTTTATAGGTTGTAGAATTGTACAAATGTGATAACAGTAAGAAAATGAAAGATTTGCTCACTTTGTCACGTGGTCTCCTGCCATATGTGAAACGTCTCAAAGGTTACATTATTAAGGGATATAGGTTTCATGTGGAAGACTATGACAGGGGTTTGAGAACTCAAAATTGCGATGTGGTTGTAGTTGGTGAGACAGATGAAGAGAATAAAAATATTGATTATTATGGAGAACTCACTGAGATTATTGAATTGCAATTTATTAGAGGAAAAAGAGTGATCTTGTTTAAATGTATGTGGTTTGATGTGTATGACCAAGAAAAGGGAGTTAAAATGGATGAATATGGCTTTGTGAGTGTTAATGCTCAGCGATTATTGAAAACTAATGAACCATTTGTATTAGCAAACCAAGCATTACAAGTATTTTATGTCGATGATCCTTCAAATAAAGGCTGACATGTTGTAAGAAAAGTTTTTTCTCGTGATACATTTGACATTTTGCAAGAAAAGAATGATGATTTGGAGAATTTATAGAATTCTACACAAATGAAAAGGAAAAGAACTCATGAAGGTTTTTAACCTTTATAGTGGTTGCTGTTAATATTTATTTCATTCGGCCTCTTATTTCTTACTTTTCTAGGCATAACACGTTTACAGTACGTCAAAATTTGGCTAATAACTTGAGAAAAGAAGTTTTCTGATTTAGTTTTTATGCATCACTTTTACTTGGTATGCATTTTTAATATTTGGCTTGTAATGTGAGTGTTGTTTGTATGCCCTTTCTGAAAGCTTTCATTAGGATTTTTATCTTTCGCTGACTTGTTGACTGCATAATGGAGAGCTTTATTCTGTGTGTATTCTGTACTAGCAATTTTAATGTTGATTCTCTAAAGAATCTTATTGCTGTAGAGACATGTCTTCATTCTAACTTTATGGTTTCTCTTTCTTTTCCTTCCTCTATCTCACCTACATCTTCATATCTTCTCTATTACCTTTCTCTCTAAAATGAAGAGGATTTGTTGCATGTTGTTTGTCAAAAATTGGTCTAAGCTTGTAGGTCACACCTCCAAGATTCTGGACAACTCCGGTGAGCATTGCTTGCGTTTTCATGGTCTTGCTTTATTGCTATCAGTAGTTGTTTTGAATATAGTTTTAGCTAAATTTCGGTACATATTAGTAATTGTACCTGATTTACACTAATAATTGTACCCGATTTACACACTCATTGTCGCTTTGATGAATTTTTTCTTAAGGTATCAAAAGTGATTGTAATTTTGAAGTGGACTTTGCACTCATGTGTTTGATGATATGTCTATGTCATATTATTTGGAGTATTATGTTGTCCTCCTCCTATTTGGGGTACAATAGTGAAATCTCTAGGAGCGTCTGAGCATGGACTCTTTTAGAAGAAAGTATTATCTTTCTTTGAGCACTCTGGGGCCAATTTATGGACTTGAGTAACCATATGACTGTTACCATCTTCCACACACTAAATATGTAGGGTATGATTGTTAGTTACATGTTATTGATATTATTTTTTTTCTTTGTTTGGTAGGTTGTTCTACCTGATTCCTTTGAAATTGCAGAACAGTAAGATTACACAAATAATCCAGTGTAGTATTAATGGCCGGTTTGCGCACTATCCCTTTTTTGTTCTTATAGACTTAATTACTCACCTGAGAAAATATGAGGAACATCTTGATACTGAAAATACTGTAAAAATTACTGATGATATAATAGACTCCCATCGACCTTTTTCTTTATCCTTTGGAATTGGAATATTACAAGCTTGAATTTCTTTTGATTTCTTATGCATTGCACTTAGAAATATACTTTCTCTGTGAAAAATATTCCTCCTTGTGATTCATTTGAAGGGATCCATTGCAGGCGATGGTCTTTCTTCATGATTCTATTATAAATTTCTATATCTTAAAGTCACTGAATCATTTGTTTTGATTTTGCTTCTTCGAGACCTATTTCCAAGCCAAAAGAGGAAGAATTTGCCTCCTTTTCGCTTAAGAGTTGATGGAAAATGTGGTTCCATCAAATTTCTTTTACAAGTTCATTTAATTGAGAGATTTCTTCTATTCTATCATATTTAGCTCTTGGATTGTATTCATGTACAATGACTGAACTTCTGCATAGGGTGATAATAGCATAAAGATAAGCTTAGCTTAAATAGCTGGTGACCATACGAGATATAGCCTACATTCCGAGTTTCTTCGCCTTGTACGTTGTGAAAATTGCCTTTTCCCCTCTCATGTGTGTTATTTTGAGGTTAAATTTTTCTTCTCCTCATATCTCAAGGATGTAGTTGAGGTTTTTTAAAATAGTTCTGTAGATTTTATCTTTTGCTAACTCAGGAGTATGAAAATAATTTTGCTTTTAACAAATTATGGCAACTTTTAGTGGCCTTTTTTGTGGTTCCAGAGCATTTTTTTCTTTGTTGCAGTGACATGTATTTTAAATATATTTGTGTCAACATAGTAGACGTACAGTTTAAATAGAAATGAGAGTTTGGGTGTACGAGCATGGGTAGTTTTGAATTGTCAATTCAGATTAAACTCATACTTTAGACTTAGGATGTAATGTCAATGACTGTAAAACATGTGTTTTTCCCTTTTACCCAATAAACAAAGAAGTAGTTTTATCAACACACCTCATTTAAATTTGTGACGATCTGGCCGGTTGTCTTAAGAATTAACGCTCCGATCCCCGATTAACTACTTTCCCCAAGTTTATTTATGCTATTTCGATTTGCCAGGATGTTCGATTTTGAGTTTCGGAGAGTTTTGGGACACTTAGTCCCTAAATGAGAGCTTAAGTGCTGGAAAGTTGACCGTAGTCCGAACAATATGAAGACAACCTCAGAATGGAAATTCGATGGTTTCGTTAGCTCCGTTGGGTGATTTCGGGGTTAGAAGCGTGGTCGGAGTGTTTTTTGGAAGTCCGTAGCTAATTTAGGCTTGAATGTCGGAAGTTGAATTTTTGAAGTTTCCGGTTCGATAGTGAGATTTTGATCTGAGGGTCGAAATAAAATTCCGAGAGTTGCAGTAGTTCCGTTATGTCATTTGGGATGTGTGTAGAAAATTTTAGGTCATTTGGAGGTGGTTTGGTTATATTTTTGATCAAAAGCGTAATTCGAAACTTTTTGGAAAACTTAGGCTTGAATCCGATGTGTTTTAGTTGATTTGATGTTGTTTGAGGTATTTTGAAGATTGATACAAGTTTGAATAAGGTTTTAGGATATTTCGATGTCTTTGGTTGAGGTCCCAGGTGCCTCGGGTGTGTTTTGGATGCTCGACGGATCATTTTTAGTTGTTAATTGTAGAATTGCAGGTTCAGTTGTTGCAGATATTTACTCTTTGCGTTCGCGAGTGGACCCTCGCATTCGCAAAGATTCAGTGGAGGTTAGTGAAATTTTAGCCTTCGCGTTCGTGAGGAAGGCTCCGCGTTCGCGAAGGGCTGGAAACTTGTGAACCGCGTTCGCGATTGGGCTTCGCGTTCGCGTAAGAGGAAAATTGGCCCAGTAGAATTTACTCATCGCGTTCGCGATGCGAGGAACGCGTTCGCGAAGGTTTGTCTGTGCAAGGCATCGCATTCACGGAGTGAGGGACGCATTTTCGAAGATGGAAAAATGGTTAAAGTTATTTTATGCTTCTCGAACGCGAGGCTTTGACCGCGTTCGCGAAGAAGGAATTTTCTAGGCAGATATAAGATTTCAAAATCGAGTGTTTAGCCATTTTTATCAAAACTTAAGATTAGGAGCTCGGATTTGAGCGAGATTTTGAGAGATTTTCAAAGGTATCGATTGGGTAACGATTCTTAACTCATTTTTGCTTGTAACTCGTTAATCTAAACATGAAATCATCCTTTAATTTCGGAATTTGTATGAAAATTAGGGAAATGTTCTTAGGCCAAGAAATTGAGTTTTTGTTGGGGATTTGACATCGAATTTGGATAATTTTAGTATGGTTAGACTCATGAGAGTGTGAGGATTCTGAAACTATAAATTTTACCCGATTCCGAGACTCGGGCCCGAGGGGCGTTTTGGTCATTTCACATAATTTCGCGTATTAGCTTAGAATTTAATTGTAGAATCAGTTACTTGAAGTGTTATTTACATTATGCAATCGAATTGAATAGATTTGGGCCATTTGGAGTCGAGTACTCGTGGCAAAGACGTGGTGTTGGGTTTATTTTGAGCCGGTTCAAGGTAAGTGGCTTGTCTAACCTTGTGCGGGGGACCTTTCCCTTAGGATATGATATATTTGGTAATTGAAATGCGTTGTACGTGAGGTGACGAGTACATACTTGAGCTAATTGTTGAAAATCCAGTTTTACTTTAAGTATTTCAATTGAGTTCCCTTTTAATGCATTATTCTACTTGCGAATTTAGGCGGTTGTAGTTTAGAAAAGCATGTTTAGTTGATTTAATTGCCTATTTGCTTAAATTGCCTTAATTACATTATGTGAAGCATGTTAGGCTAGAATTAACTATTTACTTGATACAAAATTTTGCATTTAATTGAGTATTCTTGTGTTGCTTCTATGTGTTTTTAATTTGGGACTATGGGACGACATCCCCGGAGATCCCCTATACGTATTTATGATTTGGACTGAGGTGCAGGATACCAAGAGATCCCTGGCACGTATATTGAGGATACCAAGAGATTCTCAGGATACCAAGAGATCCCTAGCATATATTGAGGATACCGAGAGATCCTCGGGATACCAAGAGATCCCTAGCATATATTGAGGATACCGAGAGATCCTCGGGATACCAAGAGATCCACACCATATATTGAGGATACCGAGAGATCCTCGGGATACCAAGAGATCCCTAGCATATATTGAGGATACCGAGAGATCCTCGGGATACCAAGAGATCCCTAGCATATATTAAGGATACCGAGAGATCC